GTTATAATTTGTTGTCATCCTAGAATTAAAGAGCCATAATTTATATTTATTTCCTAATTTTTATGGTAGTTACAATATCGGTCAAATCTACCAAACCTGTACAGAGATTCGTCAGTGAAAATAACAGATAAAATAAAAGTTTTTTCTTAATACACGATTGATAACTATCTGGATATTAAAAAGATTTCACGTGTGAAATATGAAAATTTTCTAATACATAAAAGTATTTTTAATCTTAAAATGAAAATTACTTTGCATGTTGGATAGGCAACAAACGGGAAAAAAAAAAGGCACGAGAAAAACATTGCGTTACAAACCTCAAGAATTAATATAAACAAATTTGATATTTTGCATAGGAAAGCATTGTGATGTTTACTGATAATCTGCCAAATTTCTTTAACATACACTTCTTATTTTAAAGGTTATAGAATGAAAACTATAACAAGCACAAAATGGTTACGAGGTCAGTACCAGGGACCGAGCCTGTGCTGAAAGAGTTAAACATCTAGTATTATACAAGTATTCTCTTTAACCTTTAATGTGTTCTTCTTCTATGCTTCTTCAATTAGAAGACTTGTACTAGGGTCTTGTATTGGCCTATTCACTGCAAGAAGCCATCACAATACTTAATCAAAATTAACTTAGATCCCAAAAAGCATTGCTATAACAATGTAGTGATCTTTCATACAAAGTCTCTTGAAAAGAATCAAATTATAATAAAAAATGTAAGTTCTGGTGGGAATGTTTATTGGTAATCTCCATATAATTGTTGCTTGTGACCACTTTAACCAATATAAATTACACAACTATCCAAATGGAGTTCTATTTGTATCCAAGAACATTATTGCTTGTCCCGAAAACTAGATGATCCAAATGATCTCCTTTTATGAATAATAATTATAAAACCTGGTTATACAGAAACTAAACAGTAAACTAAGAAAGCCTTACATGTATTATAATTATAAAAACTGGTTATACAGAAACTAAACAGTAAACTAAGAAAGTCTTGCACGTACAATAATTATAAAACCTGGTTATACAGAAACTAAACAGTAAACTAAGAAAGTCTTACACGTACAATAATTATAAAACCTGGTTATACAGAAACTAAACGGTAAAGCTAAGAAAGTTTTACACGTATAATAATTATAAAACCTGGTTATACAGAAACTAAACGGTAAACTAAGAAAGTCTTACACGTATAATAATTATAAAATCTGGTTATACAGAAACTACACGGTAAAATTGAACAATAAGTGCTTCAGTATAATAAACTGACTTACCTAGAAACTTAAGCTTATGTGCCTTACTTAAACCATGACTTACATAGAAATTTAGGCTTATGAGCTTTGCTTAAACCATGACTTAACTATACATTTAGGCTTATGTAACTCGCTTAAACCAAGACTTACCTAGATATTTAGGCTTATGTAACTCGCTTAAACCAAGACTTACATAAATATTTAGGCTTATGTAACTCGCTTAAACCAAGACTTACATAAATATTTAGGCTTATGTAACTCGCTTAAACCAAGACTTACCTAGATATTTAGGCTTATGTAACTCGCTTAAACCAAGACTTACCTAGATATTTAGGCTTATGTAACTTGCTTAAACCAAGACTTACATAGATATTTAGGATTATGTAACTTGCTTAAACCAAGACTTACATAGATATTTAGGCTTATGTAACTTGCTTAAACCAAGACTTACATAGATATTTAGGCTTATGTAACTTGCTTAAACCAAGACTTACATAGATATTTAGGCTTATGTAACTTGCTTAAACCAAGACTTACATAGATATTTAGGCTTATGTATCTCGCTTAAACCAAGACTTACATAGATATTTAGGCTTATGTAACTTGCTTAAACCAAGACTTACATAGATATTTAGGCTTATGTAACTTGCTTAAACCAAGACTTACATAGATATTTAGGCTTATGTAGCTTGCTTAAACAATACATTTTAAATAAATCACTACCAATTTTTAAAAGTGATTTATCTCTAGAAGTTTAATTTATTTATATTATCACCTTTTCTACTTATTCCTCCAGAATTTAGTACTGTTATCAAAACAAAAACCAGCCTCTCAACGTTACCCACAAAGCTGATCTCAACCAAATAGTGGGGTTGACTGTCACACCTATAATGCCCACACAGCTAAAACTTCACAGGATATTAAAGAAAATTGTGGCAAAAACCTCATGTCTCCCAATTAGCAGTCCAGCACACTTGACAACTATGCTACATCCAGCTCTGACTTTCTAAGATCCCAATATTTAGAAATCTGATCGATACGAAAAAATTACAGTATATCAGAAAAGTCTACAAAAAATTACCCAGCACATTGAATTCCAATAAATGGAGCTTTTGTTAAAATTATTTACAAAACCTCAGATGAAATAAACAATAAACAAATGTATTCAGTAGTAATAAATATATGTACCACCTTATGAAATAAACAAATGTATCCAGTAGTAATAAATATATGTACCACCTTATGAAATAAACAAATGTATTCAGTAGTAATAAATATATGTACCACCTTATGAAATAAACAATAAACAAACATATTTAGTAAAAATGAGTTCTGACCTGATGTCCTTGTTGGTTGTTGAGTTTGGAGTGTTTTTGTTTTTCTTCCTGAACACTCTTCTTGTTGTTGTGGTGGTGGACATGGGATGGTAACCTATTGGTAGATGTTAAGTCCCGCGATTTAGAACTCGACACTGTTTTCATTGTGCCATCTTTTCCTCTAGCAGATTCATCTTGTGAGGTCCTATGTTTAGAATCTTTGGATGAAGTCTTGCAAGAATCGTAACATTTCTTTCCATCAGCTTCCACCCTGTGACGGTGGCGAGTGCCACTGGGGTCTTGTTGAATAGACTTTTGAGAACCGTGATGGCGACTAGAAGTCTTTTCCTTTTTTAATAATAAAGAACTTTCAAGATGTTTCTCATTATTAGCATGTTGATTTTTTACAGCCAATGATGACAGTGAGTTAATGCTAATTGAGGTGGTTACAGGACACCGCTGGAAAAGATCACTTTCTGCTCCTTTCCCATTATGACTCCACACTATATTGTTGGTGTTGGTTGCTGTTTTAGAGATTCCAATCAGGTGTGTTGGATCCTTTGTCAAATATGGTTGTACCTGGTTAAAGTCCCCTAGTGTACGTTTAATCCGACGAGATGTTTCATCTTCAAGGGGAGGAACAACCTGTTTAAGATAACAAAAGCAATACTTTTGAATATTTACAGTGACTTATTTTCTGGATCTTTACATCCATTCTTGTATGTTAAAATGATAGAAACTCCCAGATCTGATTCCAAGGATGCTAATGAATCCTTTTTTTCCCCGAAGGTCGGTTCTTATCCTTTATATTTCTGCACTTTACTTTCAATCTTTTTTCTCCTCATGTTATCGGCAGCTGAAACTACTACTTGATATCTTTTATATGAAAAACATTCTATTCAATTGCACTTTGTTCAACAAATGGTTTGATTTATTTTGAATTTCCCGCAAAACTACTCGAGGCCAATCTGTGCTAGCCATCCCAAATTTAGCAGTGATAAATAAGAGGGAAAGTAGCTAGTCAACACCACTCACTGCCATCTCTTGGGCTACTCTTTATATCAATGAAGAGTGAGGTCGATTGTCACATTATAATGTCCCCACAGCTGAAAGGGGGAGCATGTCTTATTACGAGGATTCGAACCTGTGACCCATAAATTGCAATTCAAGCCCTAACCACCTCATTAAATGGAAGTTCTGGTTAATATGGCTGATTTTTAACATGAAAACAGATATTGTTTTACGTAAACAAACAATGTGATAAAAATCTATCCTTCAGAAAATACAGTATTTCAATATAATGACACGTGTGGTAAAATTCTAAACATCACAAGCATACAACACGGTTTAACACATTTTGGCCCAAAGAATTAACTAACCTTGATCGGTTCCCCAAATATAGGCCGTGATGACGTACGATCGTGTTTATCCTTAGTCAGATGAGCTCGTGCTCTAGCTTGGCGTTCCCTCTCCCGTAGCACGTCACGGTCGACATCACTAGGAAGAAGAAGAGCAAGTACAAACATTATATAAGATGAAATCAAAGTTCTTTTAATATTCAATAATTAGTTATTATATCAAAATAATGATTCAACTTTTCAACATGAACAGTAACTTATACGCATGTAGGTCTAAACGGCTAGGTCAGAGACCTCTAGTGATTTTGATATAGCCTGTCCTTAAAGTTGAACTATTGACTAGAGAGAAAATGTAGCCAGTGACCAGCATCCACTGCTAAAAAGAGCTTTGTCCAGCATTCTGAACCGATTAATAAGACTAACGGTCACTTTTACAACCGAAAATCAATGAGGTGTAACTTAAGAACAGCTTTCTTTAAAGTTGTAAACAGAGTAACAAGAAAGTACAGTGAGAAAAACACCACTAATGCTGTTATTAATAATGTGACACGTTGTCCACTGTATACAGACAAATAGATCAGAAGGTCAAAGACAGTGAGGAAAGTACTTACAGGTTAATGTGAGAATTATTTTCAAACCACAACCAAGAAATTAGTTTTTTTTTTACAGTTAAGGGCAGAAACCCTGCTCTAAAAGAATTATATAGGTTTAACAGTTAGAATTTTTTACATTTTTTTAATTTACCTAATGCTGACTGGAGCATAGTTTGCATAATTACAAATAAATAAAACAACTGTGACCTCCAGAGCATCTTACAAGTTGTTTTAGTTGTTCAACATTTTGACGTTACACCTTCTTCAGGAACATATGATTGCATGAAGGAATAAATCCAAAACATTAAACAAATAAAACATCTTGTAAGAGTTCACGGCCATTTTATCCATTTGTAGTTAGAACTTTTGAAACAAAGAACACACAATTGCAGTAAAGGAAACAAAGTCCTCTAACTAAATGTTCGGATGATGGAACATCAATGGACAACCACAATTTAAAGATAAGTGGATGAACATGTAGTACGAATGAGGAAACACTTCGGATTAAGGAGTCTTTATATCATAGTAAAATGGCCAACAACTATTTTTTAGCATATGTAAAGAACATAATACCTATCATTGGTCTGTCTTCTTCAGGTACAATGTACAACTCTTTCGGAATAAATTTACACCTATAAAAAACCTGAAGTCTTATTATGATAAGTTGACCATAGTTTAGCTTGGGAAAGATTGTCTACTTAATTTCATGATTCTTACATAAGAAATTTAATGTCATAATTTTCACTTATGGAGTAGAATCTAACAGTTTTCTCTCCTTTGACAGATGCTTAGATCACCAGTGTATACAGAAAATCCCCTGTCATCACCATCACTGCACACAACATCTTATCATCGCTTGTCACAAAAATATCCTCCTACTTTTTAAACTTCGTTATAAAGTTTTCATCCACAAAAAAATGTACTACAGACTGAACTGAACTACTTAAAGAATGTAGCACTAGCTATAGGCTTTAGCCCTAATATCATAGATAGAGCTTTTATTAACTTCAAAATCATAAAAAAATTTATGCTAATTCCATTCTTATCAGTAATAAAACAGATCTGTTTCATTTCCTTTTAGGCCAGAAATTACAAGTTTAATTTATTCAAAAATAATGGCAAGTTTTAAAGTAGACAAGGTCTGATATTAATTATTACAACGTTTTGACCCACAGTATTGAGCCATTGCCAGGTAAGAGTTACATTACAGGTGAACTTGAGAAATACACTTTTAAACTGCCATCAATTTAAGTAAGATACTTCAGGATGGAACTTAAACCAACCTGAAACTGTTACAATGGCTAAAATAACATCAGCAAGATTAAGTAGTTTATTCTCCTTGCTTTCAATCCCACATATGACTACTCCTGACCTTTTATTTACATCAATTAACCTGTTGTAAATGTCACTGCTGTCGTGTGACAACGTTCCTATATATTATTAACCCTTGTGTCTTTGTGTAAATTGATTTTATATATAAACCATGTATGCTTAGTTGTGTATCACATCCGATTAAAACAGACTAATCTTCTGTCCAAACTGTGGTGTGTTCTCTACAGAAAATGTTATTATGTTTATAAATTGTTGATCCATTTACTGCTGTAACAACATAAAGTTCTTCCACTCACAAGTCTGTTTTTCTGTGTTTAACTGTTTCAAGTTAAACACAGAAATACTAACATATTTATGGTATTCCAGACCAACTGGAAATTAGCAGAGCTGTAAACAAACACATTCTGCTGTACTTTTGCACCAATTACACGTAGACACCTGAATCTCTTGGATGTATTTTAAATACATTACTTCCATATACACATACTCAACTTTATGGTTAATGGTGGAACCAGTCTGTTCAAGGTAAAATTACTCATAAACTGACCAATTTAAACCATACTGTGTGGGAGTAAACATATAACGGGTCATTGTTACAAGAATATAAGTGAGGTGTTTACAACTTTGGTATAAACTTCCAGTTACGTCAGAGCATCCAAAAGATTTCGGAAGGGGGCAGTCATAAATTAATAAAAAATTATCTGATAATTTTTATCAAAAAATGCTTTAAAATATTTTTCAGCAATTTCACACAATAACAAATCATATTGGGGGTGGGGTATGAAATACAGGCTCCCATTTTAATTATTATGGGGGGTTCATACCTTCTCCTGTTTCAACCTCTAAAATTTAGTTAAATTTCTTTGAAACTATTTTACTTTCAAATTTTATATTATGCCTTGTGGTTCTTTGTAAAAGTGATTAAAAAAAAGCTAACTCCCCCAGAATAAAATCCCTGGTTAGCCCTGTTTTCTTTGCAGTCAATCACAGTAAGAGTTAAGAAAATTTCAAAACTACTCAGTCAGGTTGAAAATATATCACCTAAGTCCAGTGAGAAATTTAACTCAGAGCAGTGTGCCATAACAATCGCTAAAGAAGTTGCCTATAATATTAAACTGTTTTATAAATTATTAATGCATTTCCTTATTTTATACATCAATGTTATGATCTTGTATAAGCTATTTCATGGAGCCATATTTAACTTTTAAAATGTTCACCGAGTTTAAGTAAATAATTTGTAGAGTCGGTCTGTTGCCTCAATGAAAATAATTCACCAAACTAATAAAGAACCTTGTAATATCAATGACAACATTCCTCAGTAAAAATTCTTTCTTTCTTAGAGCTTCATAACTTATCTTCTGTTACCTTTACAGGTTTGTAACATAGGCCTAATACAATTTACAGCAGTGTATGTGTTCAAGTTTGTAGAATCATTAAAAGGAGAAAATCAAGTAATTTATCAATGTTACGTGAACTGGAAGTTGAATTATTTTCACCAGATAATTTAAAAGAACAACAAAACTACAAACAGAGCCCGAGTGTATGGAAAACCATAGGTCCATAAATAAGCCAATAACAACATAGTTGTCAATCGCACAATGTCTCTACAACAGGTTAGATCAACATATTATGACCGTGTAGATCGGTATCGAACAGGGTCATAAAGTTATAATGTATTGCCTCAATGCACTGTCTAAATAACAATAAGAATGTTAGAATTCTACCAAGATTAATATGTGTAAAGATACATGTATCCTACTATAATGTGAGTGAAGTTCGGTTT